CTTCTTTATCCATTCATCTATCAATGGACACTTGTTGGCTATTGCAAATAATGCTGTAATAAACATAGGGACACACATCCTTTCAAATTAGCGTTTTCGTATTCTTTGGGTAAATAGCCAGTAGTGCGATTACTGGATCATATGGTAGTTCTATTTTTAATTTTTTATGGAACCTCCATATTGTTTTCCACAGTGGCTGCACCAGTTTGCCTTCCCACCAACAGTGCAAGAGGGTTCCTTTTTCTCCACATCCTCACCAACACTTGTTGTTTCTTGTGTTTCGATTTTAGCCATTCTGACACGTCTGAGGTGACATCTCTTTTGATTTTGATTTCAATTTCCTGATCATGAGTGCTGTTGAGCATCTTTTCATGTGTCTGTTGGCCATCTGTATGTCTTCTTTGGAGAAATGTCTCTTCATGTCTTTGCCCATTTTTAATTGGATTGGTTTTTGATGTCAAGTTGTATAAATTCTTTTATATATTTTTGGATACTAACCTTTCATTGGATATATCATTTGCAAATATCTTCTTCCATTCAGTAGGCTTTTAGTTTTGTTGATCAACCAAAAATTTTACCCTAGAAATAATTATTCAGCCTAGAATTTTGGAAATTTAGTTCCTACTTGTAACATTTATGAAAAATAGGTTCTACAGAGTGAGTGTGTTCTTTTCTTAATTAATTACTTCAGGCTTTTCTCATACCAGTCATAGAAATTTATCATTCCGCATTTTCCTGAAGAATGGTGATGATATTTCTGATCCTGAACTGTGTTTCCAACCATCAGACATCACTTGACTACCTATGCCCAGTGGTCTAAAGTAATTTAATATTTAACATCATATTAGAATTGATGGGGCAAACACTATTCTGTATAGCAAACATGTAAAATAATAGTTTTACATCTCTCTTGCTTTTAGAAACTAACTGTCATTAGTTATTATTCTTAAAATGCCAAGCACACTTTACCTTATTCTGAAAATATTGAAGTTTAAACAAAAGCTAGTCATGGAATTATTCAGAACAAAGAAAAGAACAACTGACCGTATTGAATATTAGCCAAAAAGGGGTAGATTTGTTTTTTTAAGTAATCTCTACACCCAATATGGGGCTTGAAACTCACGACCCCAAGATCAAGAGTCACCTGATTTACCGACTGATCCAGCCAGGCACCTAAAAGATTTTAGATAGATTTTAATCAAAATTCTATCAGATAATTTTCCCAGCTGTGACCTTGCATATTAAAAATTATGAAATATGTGAAAAGGACTCCAATGTCCTATTGATTCGTTAATAAAAAGTGCTTACTGAGTGCATAATTGGGCAAGGCCCTGTGCAGATAGATCCCGGAAGGTCATGAAGAACAGAACAATCTCAGGAGACCCATTTAAGAAAACAGTGAAAACTTACAGAAAAGACCTCTATGATGGCTTCTGCGTTTTTCAGATTACTCAAAGAAGATGTTGGCAATGCAAGTTAAAATAGGTATTTTATTGAGAAACTTGCTTGGTCAGTGAGAGTAAAAGTTACAAATATTTTCATTTAGTAAAATTAGCATATCCATAACCCTAAAAATATCCCTTAAAAGCCTTTGTTATCTGAAACCGCAGATCATTCTGATCCAGGGTTTTCTCTTAGTGTTTCCCATGGAAAAAGACGCTGCTTATTCCCTTCATGCAAATAATAGAACAGGTGTAGTATGATTTGTTCACAAAACAAATTCTCCAGTTTGAGTTGCCTGCATGCATGTGAATTAATATCCGTATTGTTGTAACTGTAAAAGTCTCCTGGTATAACAATGAGGCTTTATGCTTACTCCTGAGCGTTCTGAGACTTATAATGTGGTCATAAAAAAAAAAAAAAAAAAAAAAAAAAAAAAAAAAGTCTTGCAGCAAGACATTTCTGCTGAAAAAAATCCCCATTCCCTAATCGTAACGTAAAGTTGGTACAGGTTAATACTACACAATAAAGTGTAATTTACTTGTTAAATACACTAGGCTTCCATGCAGGTTTTTTAAAAAATTACATATTTGTTGCATTAAAAGAGCAATGATTTAAGTCTATAAATTAGTTTCTAAATGGCTTTTACATGACACACTAAAAGTATGAGAAAAATAAATACTAGAAACATAGTTTAAATAAGGTAAACCAGCACTGACACCTAATAATTAAGTAGAGGTTCAAAGGTCATGTGAATAGATCTCTTTTTAATTTACTGAAGATAAAGCTTATCGGAGGGCAACACTGAATAACTTTCAAGTTTGTAGATTTTTTATACATGGACACTTTAAGAAGACTAAATTCTAGATGTAAGAGTAGGGTGTTAGGCTTAACATTTTTAAATCTTGGCTTGAACTATATAGCTTTTTCTCTTTAACTGCAGGGAAGAAGGGAATGGGGCTATCCTTCTGCACTGTGGTGCTTTATGCAAACACCAGAATCGATACACGGCAACAGATTTGTTGATAAAATTTAAACAAATCTGCTGAAATTATTTGCAGTACAAATGTTAAAGATTATACCTCTGTGGATGGATTTTGGAGATGATATTTATGGTGGTTCTTATTCGTCTCCTAATGACACAGATTAGTACTTTGGATAGAAAAGCAGGAAAAGATGAACTTTAAAAAAATATTGCTTCTAGTTTTTAAATGAGTACTATTTGTTAAGAAAATGGGGAAAATAGAATAAGAAGGTCTTTTATCAGAATCATTAAAATTCTTTTTCAGGAGGTGCTATCAATAAGTGCAAAGTTGTCATAATTTAAGGTCCATTTCCTGCCAGCAATATACCTGCCAAATTTGGCAATTTAAAGCAATAATAAATTGGATGTTCGTCTTGAAATTATAGCAAACGGCTGTGGGGAGCAATGTTTTAAAATGTTGGCATAACTAGTTTATAGTAATTATCATATTTATTATCAGAACTCTACATTTTGATTTGGTTTTCTCTTTTTCCTGTCAGTTTCCTGTGTGTTTTAGAAACACACGAAGTCACAGAATGTTAGCATGGGGTAGGGACACACCTCGTCAAATTTTACAGAAGAGGCAATTGAGGTTTAGAGAGGTTACGATTTGCCCAAGGTCAGACAGCTGATAAGAAACAGATCTGGGGCCAGAATATGGCCCAGGGTTGTCTCCTTCACAATTTAGGTCTTAGGGGATGGGGATGAATGCTCGATCTCTTTATATCTTTCCTGTGGGGGAGTGTTGGCATTAACAGCAGGAGGACTCTGTTCAGGACTCTTTTGAAGAAATCTGTAAAACAAGTACTCATCCCGAAATTCATACTCATTGGTTATGTGCTGGATGACTCCTCCTTGCACCAGTCTGTCTCCATATATCACAGCTTCCCCACGGTCGGAGGCAAGGCCGACTTCAATGAGCCAGTTCACCAGGTCACAGCCACAGAAGGTCCCGGTAGACGTCTTTGCACCACACCTGTATGTCAAAGGAATGATTCACCCATATGTTCTGTAAACCTGGTATCAGCACTGCATGATAGAGGACAAGCAAGGAAAAACAGGAGACAGGGAAACACAGCATGATAGTTAAAAGTGTGGCAGGAATGAAACTCTTCTGAATATAAAGGGTTTGTTAACTCATCCGACCCTAGAAAGACCCACCAGGGGAAAAAAAAAAATGCCGATAATGCTTGTGAAAACAGAAACATGTAAAAAAAAAAAAAAAAAGGAGACAATGTAAATGCATCTACAAAAAAGCATTCTTTTTTATAGTAGCTGGCTGGCTATAACCAGATCTATTCTGTAGACAGTTGAATATTACTTATTTTATGATATACTCTTAGGTATAATAAGTAATTGAATAGTCTCAGGAACATTAAATGATACGTTTTTACGAGCTCTTAAAAAGTGACTACTTTCATTAAACTACTCAAATCTCACTTCGTTATTTTCTGTTTATCACACTGCCCACAAATAGTCTTTCTTCTTGCCTTCATCAGCAAGGCAATCTTACTGATATTTGTCAGGAATTTGGCGCATTAGGAAGGAAGGAAAGAATAAGTGTGATCTGTCTTGCCATAAATCTAAGGTCTTTAAAATGTGCTTTGATTATGAATCTATTTTTTGATTATTTAAAATTTGTCTTCCTAATGCAAATGTGGGGTGCCTCAGGTACGAATAAATAAACAAGAGGAAGAGAAGTGTGAAAGAAGCAATTAAATGAACTCTTAATATTTTCATACAAATATGCAATAGACAACATGAATCTGTCCACAAGCATCAGTCAAGCTGTAAAACCTAAAGTGCTTGACAACAGGAAACAGTGGATGAAAATCAAGACGAGATGAGAAGTAAGTGACAAAAATTTTAAAGCGTTTAACCACTAATGAATATAGAGTTTCACATAGAAATTAGAGAAGAGGCTAATATCCATGAAGGATCTTCTCAAGTACATAAGTCAAAATGTTTTAACATCAGTAGTTTGCTTAGTAATAAGATATCTTAATTTATGCTTTACAACTACAAACATCACCTGGAATATTATGACCTCTGTCTGATCCTTCTCCCTGCTTGCTGACTTTTAATTTATAGCCCAACACCTTATACCCCTGCCACCAACTGGAGAATATTTGCTTCCTGATGACTGATCAGGCAGCTACAACCACAGCCCACGGAACTGCACAGAGTGGCAGAGAATGTGCCACCCTACAGGTCACAGGGCAGCACCACTACCAGCCAGCGCCCATTCGGCCGTCTGGGCGCGAGGCAGCCTGCCAACTGCAAGCGCCATGCTTCCCACCTACGCAATCACAGTGGGCCTGGCAGAGCTGATGTGGAGCACCCTTTGTTCATCTCATCTCATCTCATTTCATTTCATTTCATTTCATTTCATTATTATTTGTTGAAGTTTATTTATTTATTTTGAGGGAGAGAAAGAGAGCACAAGCAGGGGAGGGGCAGAAAGAGAGGGGAGAGAGAGAGAGAGAGAGAGAGAGAGAGAGAGAGAGAGAATCCCAAGCAGGCTCCATGCTGTCAGCGCAGAGCCCAAGGCGGAGTTCGAACCCACAAACCGTGAGATCATGACGTGAGCTGAAACCAAGAGTCAGGTGCTTAACCGACTGAGCCACCCCACCCAGGAGCCCCCCTTTAATTTTAAGAAGCAACTGTAAATTGTTGAAACTGTCCATTAGTGGAACTTTGAAATAATTTTGTTTGGCTCTTTAACTAACTTTTCTTCATAGTTTACCATTTCCAGAAACCGGGCTAGGACCCTCGTACAGATTTTGCTATCCGATTCAAAAACATGCTATCTAATTTTAAAGAAGAGGAAAATTAAGGTTTAGACAACTGAACTTGCCCAATGATGTCGCATAGCTAATAAGTAGCAGATTCAGGAGCTGACTTCTAGTATCAGTGCCCAGTGAGTCCCCTTTCCACTAACTGCCCCAGGCTACCTGTTTCTAAACAAATATAGTGGCATAGGATATGTGTACATATATCATCCTGAATGGCAATTTCAAATTTGTGGCTATAGACATAAAAGGACAAATTTCATTTCATTTTCCTGACAATGTCATTAATAATATGAAATAACATACCACTAGGAGACAGAGAATAGAAAGTCACTTCTAAATCCAGTGTATCTCCTGGTTTTGTGAGAGACACTAACGGCCAACATGAAGTGAATGTTAATATTTTACTACATTTTCCTTCATTCTAAATTAGTTTTCACATTTTATATGGAAATTGGAAGTTATGTAACTTCTAAAAAGTGTAAGAATCTTACATATGCTGTTTTAAAACAATTTTTTTTTAACATTTATTTATTTTTGAAAGACAGAGAGAGACAGTATGAGTGGTGGGAGGGGAGGGGCAGGGGGAGGGGAAGGGCAGAGAGAGAGGGAGACACAGAATCCGAAGCAGGATCCAGGCTCTGAGGCTGTCAGTACAGAGCCCGACACGGGGCTCGAACCCACGAACAGTGAGATCATGACCTGAGCTGAAGTTGGATGCTTAACTGACTAAACTACCCAGGCACCCCAGTATATGCTGTTTCTTTTTTTAAATTTTTTTTT